ACCTGACATTTTTTTTTCTTTTCTTCAGTTAGTCGCAGTTCTGTTAAAAATTTTTTTTTTAAATCTATATTTATAATTCTCAAAATGTTTGTGTAGAGATTTTCCAAGCGTAGGTTAAATGTGGCACAAGGCCGAAAGTAGAGGGTACCCAGTGAGGATCGAACTCACTATTCAGTCGTAACTGTTCTAGCGAGACAATCTTGCTAACGATTACACCGCCTCGAAGTGCCCCAGTGATTTTCCAAGCGTAGCTTAGATGTGGCACAAGGCCGAAATTAGGGGCACCCAGTGAGGATCGAACTCACTACTCAGTCGTAATTATTTCAGCGAGACAAGCTTGTTAACCATTACACCGCCTCGAGTGCCCAATGTGTGTGTATGTGTATGTCTGTATGTGTGTATATGTGTCTGTGTGTGTTCGAATATTGTTTGTGCATTTCCACAGTTTTCATCCGATTTCGATGAAATTTTTTTTTTTTTTTGTTTGATAGATTTATTCTTCAGTGCCCGTTTTGAGAACAAATTGATTGGCAAAAATTACAACCTTGAAGGCGAAAAATCGAAAAAACTGATTTTTAATACTATGCGCAAAAATCAAAGGCAAAATTTAATGCCTGTAAAAAACAGCGTACAATCAATTATAGAGAGTTGACATCTAACGCAAAAGATTATTAGGATTATAAAAAAAATATATATATTATAAATAAAAATTATCGTTTATTATTATTATTATGACGGTCCATGGAAGAGGTTCCTTCCTTTCAAGACTGAGAACGCAAAATCGGCCATTTTCAGGGTCACCTCTTATTCAAATTGTTAACACACACACACACACACACACACACACACACACACACACACACCACATTTTCGGGGTGTGCCTCAGTTGCATCCAAATGTTGTTACTAATATTGATTTTCAAGTGGGCTGACTTTAAACTTAAACTGCTCCAAATGAACGGCAAAAATTCCCAGTAATGAAATACCCGGTCGAACACGGGTTATACTGCTAGTATGTAATAAAAGAATGTATATTTCTATTAAAATTTCAATATGCGTTTTATTCGGGTTTATGAAATTTAAAAATAAATGTATTTGTATTTGTTAAAAAATACATGTCTAAATTAATATCATATTCAAACAAATCTTAGGACCAGTAATATTGTTAATGTTTAACTTAGAAACAAGTAAAAACCGTGTTACAAAAAGAGGTTTTCTCTTGACCCCGCGAATATTCCATTGGTCGTATTTATTGTTTTAAAAGGGTAATTTTAAGAATTTAATAAAGTCATAACGTTAATCTGACATTTTTTCTTTTCTTCAGTTAGCCGCAGTTCTGTTGAGAAATTTAAAAAATATATATACATAAACTAAATAGAGAAATAGATAACATTATAGAATCTAGGGTTAAGTGAATGACTTTGCCTCGAAATTATTCCCAAGTATGGAAATAGCCGGAAATCTAAAGGACAACGTGTTTAAAGGCGATAACAATGAGTATATATGGTGATAAAAGAAATTGTATATATAAAAAATTATGTAGAAATTGTCAATGATGTGGTTTGGTTCAGGATGGGGACCATTAGTTATTTCGGCTAGCCAAAGAACCCGACCTTATAATGAAATTCCTAAATTATAATTGCTGGAAAGATCCATGAAAATTTAACGGTATTCCTATTTAAATTCTCTGATGAATCTTAATTCTTGACACTTAAGTTAATTGATTGAATAAGCTCATGGCGAGTTCTACGACAATATAATATCCGTAGAAATTCTCCTATAGCATCGTTAAATATTTGAGCTTAACAACTTTAACAAAACATTGCAAAAATACTCATAAATATGAACGCTGGTCGTTATTTAAAGAATTGGATAGAAATGAAAAGTTTGAAGTTGACAACGTTTTCCATTTCACTAAAACAGTCGTTAAACACATCTATCTTCCCTTCTTTTTGTCTTTCTCTCATTTTCTCACTGAAACCAGGTAGTGTCTTTCCTCTCTGTCTACGCGATCAAAATGGAATAGTCCAGTATTTATGAGGTATTAACAGGAGACGTTAAACACTTTTATCTTTATTTATTTATTTATTGCTTGTATCCTTGCTTTCTTGGTTTTTTTTCTATCTTTCTAGCCAAATCCCCGTTTTACGAACATTTCTCTTAATAATAATGTGTGTGTGTGTGTGTCTGTGTGCGTGTGTGTGTAACGAATGCACGGCCGCAATTTTCGACGGATTTTCACCAAAATTTGCACATGCTCCAAGTTAGCGGGAAAAGCCAAGACCGACTTTGCATTTCCCAACTCCCATTGAAAGTGAAAATAATCGATTTTTTCATGCTTCTACGGCAGTTTTCATGTAGTTTGCGGCCATTTTCTACTGGCCAGAGTGAGAGCCTATAGCTGGCTGCCACGAATGTTAACTAGCATGTTAACATGCAAAAAAGATCAATAGCTGCATTTGTCACATATGGAAAAATTTAAATCTGCATGGCACTTTACTCAAATTGGCTCATTCGCTTGCTTAAACTCAACGTTGATTCTGATTCCGCAGAACTGGGTTGGGTGTGAAAAAGTATTTGTTGTTAACATTCTTTTTTCATTCGGTTTTTCCAGTTACGAGTCCTTTTTTAAAGCTGATCGTTTTGTGTTCATTTTGTTTATCTCTTTTTTCGTAACAGGTTTAATAGATAGTACCCACTGGCCCTGTTGCTGATACCGAATTTTAATAAAGGTGTGTACACTGTATATTTTTTGTTTCCACACAAAAGAACATTTTGAATGCATAATTTTTGTGTGTGAAAAATTAACGTATATTTTTTTCAGTACGATTTTAAAACTCTCTCACATCTTAATCCTTTCTGATAAACTTAATATAAAATAAAGATGTTTGAATCATCTAAAAATATAAAGCTTAACCCTTTCAGCGCTGACCACCGCTTTACCGGTGTTAGATAAAATGACGTAATGCCCAGTCACAGGTTGAACAGTGATAGAGAAAAAATGACTTAATACTCAGCTACCGGTTGAACGGTGGGTAAACACTTGTAACTATTTTTATATCTACCGTGAATCATTACATACCAATTATTTGCGAATTTTGACCCACGACCTCAGGCAGAAAGGTTAAAATTGTTCAGGAAGGGTTAATGCCATTTTCGAACGTTAACATTTTTTTTCCAAATGATCTAATTTATGTTTTTCTATTTTACAACTGATTTTTGTTTTTATTCTACGGAAGATAAAAAAAAAATCCCCCAAAACAGCTTGAACCCGATATACCAATTTCTATTTCCAATCCTATATGCCTAACTACACACAGACTTGCTGGTACAACTAAACAAATATTTACTTGGTGATATCTGTGGATTATAGCAATCGAACGTCAATATACAATTACCATCTAAGATGTCTTCTCGTTGCTTTCTACTTTAAGCAAAAAAACATTTGCTACCGATATTATCTTTCTTGATAGAAACGTGATAACAGCGTGACACAAAATCCCGGTTTGGGACAAAGATACAGTATTTATTTCCAACGAACAAGAAGGTAGATGGACAGAAATAACACATGATTATATATTTACGAATGTCATCTTCACGACAGACTAATCATAAAACGAGCTTCGTGTCACGTCGGTAATCCTGGGTATGACAATAAACTACACCCGGCAGCAAGGCCACTGATCAGGAGATTGAAGGTTTTGAGGAGCGTGGAACCACCTCTTAATTGCTGTTGTTCGCAGATTTACAGTGATCCTTATAAAAATATAAATAAAAATCCCATATTAATTATAGGTTTATAAAAAATAGTAATTATTTTTAAAAAATCCGGTATTATAGCGATTTTCTAAGCGTAGATTAGATGTAACATAAGGGCAAAAGTATGGGGAACACAGTGAGGATCGAATTCACTATTCAGTCGTAATTGATAAAGATTTCTGACCATTAGACCACGTCGAAGTGTCCTTTTCGGAATAACTGAATGTGTTTCTTATATCTTAAGCTTTGCGTTCAAAGAGATGACAAATTCTGATGACGTATTCAATCAGTCACTCATTGCGTCATTTGACAACTATCCAGTATTTGGAATTAACAAATTAAAATTAAAATTTATTGAAACAAAACAATTACAGTTGACCACTGATGACAATTCCAGAACAACGTAACAATAAACAATTTTTTTTCTAATCTCTGCCAGCCGTAATGATGGAGAAAGCATTACCTCGCACCATCGCCAGTTAGGCAAGAGCCACTCCGTTTCGCGAGGCTCGTCCCTTAATCGAGACGCAATCGCGCCAATCCTCCGAAGGAACGCCATCGAACGAGGGCCAATAACCCCTGAAGTCTCCACTGCCACAGGAGTAAAAAAAAAAAGTCTATCAGCAAGAGAAGAATATTTAACTATTTTTCATCTCTGTGTCCCGGGCGACGGATCCTGGCTCAACCGCGGAACTGATCAAATTACCGACCGAAAATGTATCCGCACAGGTCGCATCCCAAATCAACGACTTCCCCATTTTAAAAGGGAAAATGGTAATGTCATCTGGCCGCTTTCCATCACCGCGGTCGAGGCCTACGGGTTCGATTTGGTAAGGGAACTCAGCTGCATCCAAACCTCTTTTAATGATGTCGTTATTGGCTGCATACCGTGGAAAGCGGCCGGCACTACGACGACAGGAGTATTTGGAATTATAGGTTTATAAAACTCAGGTATTAAATATAGGATTCTCCATAAACACTGGAAAGAGCGATAACAATTACTGTACTTGAGAAAACTATATTCCTGAAAAATTGTTTTAAAAGAAAGATTTTATAAATTCCAACCGGAAACAATACTGTCTGCTCGGTCAATGAATGCTAAATGTTTCCTTATAAGGAAACGGCTAATATTACCATTGCCATTAAATTACTGTTTCCTGGTTCTGAGTAGAAGGGTTCTTACGGTTGGCATTTTTTAGGCTTCCTACTAAAATTATTAATTAATGCCATCTGTCCTCCGAAATGGAATGGGTTAATTATTTATTCATTTCTCCCTCTCCCCCTTTTCATTTGTTCAGTTGTATTGTTTTTTTTATTTGTTTTTTTTTTGTTCGACCCTCTCTTTCTATTCTGTTTTTTGTTTTTTTTTTTAGTTCGACCCTCTCTTTCTATTCTGTTTTTTGTTTTTTTTTAGTTCGACCCTCCTTTCTATTCTGTTATTTTTGTTCTCCCCTCTCTTTCTATTCTGCTTTTTGGGGTTTTTTTTTTGTTCTCCCCTCTCTTTCTATTCAGTTTTTTTTTGTTTTGTTTTGGTTTTTTTTTGTTCTCCCCTCGCTTTCTATTCTGTTTTTTTGTGTTCTCCCCTCTCTTTCAATTCTGTTTTTTTTTTGTTCTCCCCTCTATTTCTATTCTGTTTTTTTTCTTCTCCCCTCTCTTTCTATTCTGATATTTTTTTTGTTCTCCCCTCTCTTTCTATTTTGTTTTTATGTTTTTTGCTTTTTTGTTCTCCCCGCTCTTTCTATTCTGTTTTTTTGTTCTGCCGTCTCTTTCTATTCTGTTTTTTTGTTCTGCCGTCTCTTTCTATTCTGTTTTTTTTCTTCTCCCCTCTCTTTCTATTCTGTTTTTTCTTATCCCCTCTCTTTCTATTCTGTTTTTTGTTCTCCCCTCTCTTTCTATTCTGCTTTTTTCTTCTCCCCTCTCTTTGTATTCAGTTTTTTTTGTTCGCCCCTCTCTTTCTATTCTGTTTTTTTTGGGGGGGTGTTCTCCCCTCTCTTTCTATTCTGTTTTTTTTCTCCCTTCTCTTTCTATTCTGTTTTTTCGTTCTCCCCTCTCTTTATATTCTGTTTTTTTTTTGTCCTTCCTTCTCTTTCTATTGTTTTTTTTTGTTTTTTTTTGTTCTCCCCTTTCTTTCTATTCTGTTTTTTTTCTCCCCTCTCTTTCTATTCTGTTTTTTGTTCTCCCCTCTCTTTCTATTCTGTTTTTTGTTCTCCCCTCTCTTTCTATTCTGTTTTTCTTCTCCCCTCACTTTCTATTCTGTTTTTTTTTCTCCCCTCTCTTTCTATTCTGTTTTTCTTCTCCTCTCTCTTTCTATTTCTTTTTTCTCCCCTCTCTTTCTATTGTTTTGTTTTTGTTTTTTTTTGTTCTCCCCTCTCTTTCTATTCTGCTTTTTTTGTTCTCCCCTCTCTTTCTATTCTGCTTTTTTTGTTCTCCCCTCTCTTTCTATTCTGTTTTTTTTTGTTCGCCCCTCTCTTTCTATTCTGTTTTTTTTTTTTGGTGGGTGGGGGTTCTCCCCTCTCTTTGTATACAGTTTTTTTTGTTGTTGTTTTTTTTTGTTCTCCCCTCTGTTTCTATTCTGTTTTTTTTATTCTCGCCCTCTCTTTCTATTCTGTTTTTTTTGTTCTTCCTTCTCTTTCTATTCTGTTTTTTGGGTTTTTTTTTTTTGTTCTGCCCTCTCTTTCTATTCTGGTTTTTTTTTGTTCTCCCCTCTCTTTCTATTCTGTTTTTTGTTCCCCCCCTCTCTTTCTATTCTGTTTTTTGTTCACCCCTCTCTTTCTATTCTGTTTTTTCTCCCCTCTCTTTCTATTCTGTTTTTTCTTCTCCCCTCTCTTTCTATTCTGCTTTTTTTCTTCTCCTCTCTCTTTTTATTCAGTGTTTTTTGTTTTCCTCTCTCTTTCTCTTCTGTTTTTTTTTTTTTTTGTTTTTTTTGTTCTCCCCTCTCTTTCTATTCTGTTTTTTTTTTGTTGTTGTTTTTTTATATATATATATGCCTCCCTCTCTTGGCAGTTATGTCTTTTAACCTTACCTAAATTTTCACATTCTTTCATTTTTTGTCTTTTCTTCTCTGTCTTTTGTTTCCTTCTTTTTGCATTCTATCGTTCTTTCATTCTTTTCTTTTCTTCCCTTATTCTTTCCAACCTATTAACATTCCTTTTTTTTCTTCCTTATTCTTTCGATCCCTCTTTCAGTCTTTTCCTTTTTCTCTCTTTCTTTCATTCTTTTCTTTTCTTCCTTTTTTCTAGTCTTACTTCATACTTTTATTTTCTCCCTTATTCTTTCTATACTTCTTTCTTTCTTTCTTTCTTTTCTTCCCTATTCTTTCTTACCCTATTTCTTTAGACTGCTTTTTTCTGCCTTCTTTCTCTCTTTTAATCTCTCCTTTTTATTGCTTGTCAATCCTTCCGACTTTGAACCTATTAGCACCCAACGTAAAATCCGTCAATTAACCATAAATATTCAAATAAAAAAAATTAGGTAATAATTATAGGTTTTGAAAAATGCTAATAATTATAGGTTTATGAAAACCCTGTATTTATTATAGGTTTATAACAATCAAGTATTAATTATAAATTTCTTATTTTCAGTGTTATAAAAATCAAGTTTTAATTATCGGTTTATGGAAAACAATCCGGCGTTAATTTTATGTTTAAAAATCCAGTATTTGTTATCAGTACAAAAGTATCGGTATTAATTATAGGTTTAATAAATCCGGTAATAATCATAGGTTAAAAAGACCCGATATTAATGTTATGTTGAAAAATCCGGTATTAATTATAGGTTTTAAAAAACCCGGTATTAACTAGGTCTTAAGTCTGATATTAATCATATAGATTTAAAAAAATTCCGTATTAATTTTGTTTAAAAATCCGGTATTAATTATAGGTTACTTGAGATTAATTCCCATTGTCTCGTTTTGAGGACAGTTGACAATTGACATTAATGGGTTAACACATTCGACTCACAGGCAATTTCTTCTACCAACCAAAAATATACGCATGTGCGCTTTTAAATCCCTTCTTCCCCCACCGCACACCCCTTCGCGTCCTTGTTGACAACAACGAAGCAAGAAAATAAAATGGAAGAAAAAAAAAACAGAGTCAGCAGAAAGTATTATCGAGAAGAATTAGGTCACAAACAAGAAACGCTCATGTGCGGTCACACACACACACGCAAACACACACACCGAGAGAGAGAGAGAGAGAGAGAGAGAGAGAGGCGCACCCAACCACATACATGTACACACGATATAATCCAACAAGCTCTGTGACACAGCCTGAGTCCTGACCCAGCCATTCAATGATAAACAAGAGCACGTGGTTTGCGTCCTATTAAACGTGCTGCGCATGCTCACACAAGTACAGCGAGCAAACAGCACTACGTAACCGTACTCTTTTTTAGCGAATATAAGTGCCGTCTACAGTCGTCATGCCGGCGGGAATTTTTCAACTTATGAAATAAGAGTATACGATTAATAAACTAGAAAGAAAAAAATAATCGTTTTGAACTGCCAGTTAAAAAATTAAAAGTAAACTTGATTTATTTTGGAAAAATATCAGAATAATCCAGATTTTATACTGGGGACAAATCGCCTGCGTACGAGAAGAAAATGAATTGAATAAATATATGTTATGATGAGCCATATGGATGTTCTTGTAATGTGGTTGTTAATAAATGTTTCTGATTTTTGTGTCTAAGTGAATGAATAAATTATTTGCAAGTGTTAAGTCTATCATTAAAAGATAATATTAAACAAGGGAAAGTGATATTTGTGTAAAACCTATATCCAAGTGTTCTCTTGGTGACAGCCCGATGAAAAAGAGGATGACTCTAAATTTCCCGCCAGTAGGACGTTTTCCTTTTTTTTCTATGGAATCATGGGAATAATCTTTTTTTTTATTTCTCGTGATCGCGAGATTAGTACATATACAAAAATTGAAAGGGGCGTGAGACAAGGATGTGACATCTCACAGGATTAATTCAACATTTACAATGGAGCATTTCTATGAGACCTAGAAGTTTTATTATTAGTGGACACAATCTTAACAGCATAAGATACGAAGAGGACTCTGTTGTTGGCAGATACAGAAAGAGAACTATCCGAGACAAGGTATGAAGGAAAGCAGGAAGAAAGGACTAACAATCAATTGTAAAAAGACTGAGTGTATGGTTGTCAGGAAGAGGAACAGCCCAAGATGCAAGCTGTCAACTGTAGACGTCAAAATAAAAAAAAATATGGTCTTAAAATCTGGGAAGTGTTTTATTTAGCATATGACGGAAAATGTGACATTGAAATCAGAAGGCACATTACATTAGTGAAAGATGTCTTCTAAAATATAAGCAGCGTATTAAGAATCAGGGAAAGTTCATTAGAAACAAAGTAAAAAGGTCTTAAACATCTATTCGATACATGACTGACGAGGCAGATTTTTTCCCGCAGTAGGTTGCTATTTCTTTCTGCGGTATCCATCCCAGGCTATAGAACCCGGTCTGTTCTGTTACTTACCCATAGCTAGTGCAGTGGGGGGAAGAAGAGGATTCATACCTTTCCCAAGGGTATTAGCACGTAGGTGAATTTAATAGATTCGATTGGAATTCGAACTCGGCTCTCCGGTTTCTTAATCCGAGCCGCTATCCATTACTCCACCATGGGTAATAAACGTATTATTACAATTTCCTGAGGGAAGAGAAAACTTGAGGCAACAGAAATATGGTTCTACAGAAGAATGCTGAGAATACTATTGTCGGACCATCTGAGAAACAAGGAAGTTTTCAGGAAAATTGTAACAGAAAGTCCACTTACACTTAAACAGACTGTTCAAATTTCGGAGGACACGCAAGGCGTATTGAAGGCAAGAGGGACAGAAATAAGGCAAGAGGGACAGAAATAAGGCAAGAGGGACAGAGGAAAGCAATAAAATAATTGATGGTAGAACAGGGACTGGATATAACACTGAAATGACAAACTTTATTTAAAACCTTTTTTTGTGCTTTTTGTTTTGTTTCTGTTCACCCTGTACAACTCCCGGGGCTCACTCAAGATAGAGGATTACGTTAAGAGGCAGTTTATACGGATAGCAGAATATAACGGTTAATCCTAGACTTGAACAGGTTAAGATTGGAGTAATCGAAGATATATATATATATATATATATATATATATATATATATATATATATATATATATATATATATATATATAAGGTTTCTCAAATTGAAAAGAAAACAGTTCACTGAGACGAAAATGTCAAGAAAGTACTTTAATCGCTAGTTCATCCACAGTAAATTTACGTCCAAATTCTTACAGCGTTTCACCATTCTTGGTAGATTTTTTGTTATCACAATGTGAGACATTTAATAACAAATATGATGGAAACAAAATAAAAAAGAATATAAATGTGTAGATAAAATTAGGTCCAAACAATAGGAAGGGAACAGGTTGGCCTGGCACCGCCTACTTCGGGAAGAAACAAAACTCCTTAGCTTCACGGCAGTTTAGCTACAAAATTCCACTGATCTTCCCACTCAATTATTCAAACACCGCCTCGTAGTTCGCTACACACAAAAAAACTCCCGAGTGGTCTCTCGTCGTCACATTTATCTCCGCCAAAGCCAACCAATCTGCGTCCGACCCAGTTCACGTCTCGCCAATCCTCGCAGCTCCGAGATCGCGTTTTCCATAAGTCCGACTCACCGTAATGGCGGAGTTTCTCTTCGGATTAATTACTGCCCTGCACGCCAGACACAAACGAACCCTCTTATGTCGAGAGCTAAAGTTAGTCTCGCTTTCATGTCCACAAAATGAAAACAGGTCGATTATATAACTAAAACACAAACAAAAAAATTTAATTTAAAATTCCCAGGGTATCTCATTCGTGCGTGGGGCTCCCCTCCTCCCCGGATTCTTCCAGGAGGATTGGCAGAAGAGGGAACGCGTTTTTTTTTTGTCCATTGGTGTAGATGCTACAGTTGTAGTATCTGTTTCCTGTCGGAGGCCTTCTATTCTCCCTTGCGTTTCCCGCCCCCGCCCCCCCACCTGTGTAACGTTTGTTCCGTAATGGTGGTATGACCAGCTATGACTAGCTAAGACAAGCTCTGACCAACTTAGACAAGCTTTGACCAGAATTTTTATGTGCTGTGTCCCTTCAGGACGTAAGCGATCATGGCTCCCCACTTCCCCCTATCCTTTGTACCTCTCGATAACTTTCGTCCCTCTTCCACCTCCCCCAGACCACGCTTTGTCATACACCTGCCCAAGCCCGCCAGGTATGTCATGCGTTGCTTTCCCTTGTTTCTCTTTCCCTCTATTCGACCTATGAGTATCAGATTCTCCAAGCCCTCCTTTCTCATTACGTAGCCAAGAAACTCCAGCTGCCTCTTCCTGATGTTAAATATAAGCCACCTCCTTGTTTGCATCCGCTCTAAAACCTCATCGTTGCTCGGTCCATGATATCCTCAGTAACCTTCTGTAGAACCATATCTTCGTTGCCTCGAGTAGACAAGCTAAAACTAGTTTAGAACAGCGGCCCGAGTGGAAATACTCGGATTCCCACGTTAAAAACCGACCTTGTTCAATCGTTATCCCATAAATTATATATTCAGATTTTTCGTCTAAAATCACAGATTTTTTTTTAAACAATGAAAAGCCATTAATCTCACAGTGGGCATGTATCGTTGCAAATAATGATTATTCAGATAAATAATATTAATTTCACTTAATTCTATAAAGTTAACTAAAATATATAGGGTTACCTCACCAGGTAACCCTATATAGGTTGATGTTTATCGAGCACATCTAGCAAAGCATGAAGCTGCGATGACATTAAACAATTGTAAGTGCACTCTTCGACTTTATTGAGTAGAAGTATAAATATGTACAAGTGCAAATAACCTGTTGATCCGAAGAGAATGACTTATTTACCACACTTCCCGTGAACATTCATATTCGAGCTGCACCTTGTAAACTTAAACCTGAATAGTCACATAAAACGAGCATTTTATATATCTTAATCTTTTTTTCTTTTATACGCCATGTGCTTTCAGGTTGTAGACGATCATGGCTCTCCACGACATTCTGTCGTTTGTAGCGTTAAATAATGTGTCTTTTTACCTCCCTTCCACTTACCTACCGTTCCGCCATCCTTTAACATAATGTAGGTGATTAGCTGTCTGCCCTAACCTTTTTCGCTTCGATATACAATGTAACCCGGATATAAGAGAGTTGGCGGGACCGGAGAAGAAGTCTCTTATATCTGGATTTCTCTTATATCCGGGTTTGGTCTATTTTATATAGATTAAAACAGGCTCTAATTTGGGACCAGAGAAAATCTCTCTTATATCCG